CGCAAATGTATGACGTCACCATTTCAACCATCAATGAACGCATGGAACTAAAACAAAGCTTAATATAAAGGAAAAGCTGGAGAGGTGACGGAATTACCTACAATGTCGGAATATACCGCGTTTACCCTATTTTCTATTGGGATGTCATCATCATTCTAACGTTGAAGTTCTAATGTATTGAATTGATTATTGAAAGTTGAAATAGGATAAATGCACCATATTCCAACACTGTGGATACTGGATAATTCCGACACCCCTCAGCAGTGTGGAATTCTAGAGGGATATTAAATTAACCAGTACACATAGCATATTGGAAAGCAGGACCTGAAAGGTTGGAAAGTCCAGGAACTTTCCACTTCCAGTCCATTTTATTATATACATTATACATATCCTATCACTTTTCAACTGTGATTGGTTTATGGGATTGTGATTTTAGCCCCTTCCAGCTTTCTAGCTGTGATTGGTTAATGGAGTTGTAATGTTATCTGCTTTCTAGCTGTGATTGGTTGCTGGGGATGCTTTCAAGCTGTGATTGGTTGATGGGAATGCTTTCCAGCTGTGATTGGTTGTGCCCATAAGCCCCGCCCCCAAATATGGTATATGTACTACAGTACTGGTTAACTAAATACTTAACTTAAACTTGATCATTACAAACAAAAAGCCTGGAAAATTTTCAAAAAATCCATTAAATAAAAGAAAAATAGAGAATATCTATCAAACAAGAGACTTTCAAACAATTTTATAACAAATCTGAGGTACTATTCCATTGAAACAGTTTGTCCACTTCTGATCCTCCTTTTCATTTATAGTCAGTCACCTGGCAGAGCACTGTAATTGGGCATCAGCCATATAGATCGTAAAATGCGTGCATCCATGTCAATTATGCTGCATCGTTCGCGAAGCGAGTGGGTCGGCCACATCAATCGTAAAATGCGTGCATCCATGTCAATCATGCCGCATTGTTCGTAAAGCGTGAACGTTGGAATCGATCATTGGGCATCGGCCATATCGATCGTAAATTGCGTGCAGCCCTGTCAATCATGCCGCATTCACTGAGAGAAAAAGGCCCCCCGTTTTGAAACACTTGGGTGTTTCAAAACCTCATGAGCTTGACGCACATATACAGTATTTGTGCGGCAAGCGTCGCGTGGTCAGTGCGCCGAATGCTGTCAGAGGTGGTTGTGTGGAGCCGCCGCTCATGAATGCCACGAATCTATACTGCTTACGGTTAATTGGCCCAACTCAATTCGGTTAATTGTTTCAACTCACTGCTGTTCTTTTGGCAATAGTAATGTTAACGAGTGACGTCTATACCATTCAATCGCACAAGAAGTTGATCATAAAATCGAAGATTTATTCTGGTAGTACCGCGCGCAAGACAAAACAAACACGGCAGCTCTGTGTAGTTGCCGTCTCCGTAGCTGAGTGGACTAAGGCGCCTGCTCGCGAGCGTTTGGTTGCAGTCTTGGCAGAGGTTTGAATCTTGGCGGGCGACTCATAGTTTCTTCAACCAGAGTTCGATAGAGGTGAGAGCAAAGAGTGTAGTTTCATGCTGATTGTACATACCGATGTAAATTGTGTAATAAATATGTGTATAAAAGAAGTAATATGTGACTAATATCAGGTGCTCACGCCGCACCTTTCAGATCGCGGCGACCGCGACGGGACGCCGATG